ACAAACCTTACGTGTATGCAGGACGATGAGTTTGGACACTTGAATTTACCTGTAATCGCCATACCTGTCAGGAGCCTACTCCGTCTTACTTAGTTTTCATTAATTTTTTTTATAGTGCGATCTTCAGGGTAATCTTGTTAGCCCTTGTAGCATCCTTGCTATTCAGAAGACATTTGAATATTTGCTCTGACTGTAGCATTGTTCGCTACAGAACTTTTATGTAAGGAAAATCAGATTCACATTAATGTTCCTAGCAAAACACTATTTGGTTAAAATGTATTTTTGAAAAGGGTCATCACCTCTCAACTACCTTTAGATCCAAGAGTAGTTGCAAATAATCCCGAACCAATGAGCTTCTGGTTTTAAAATGCAGGGTTTTGATTTGGTTGGAGACTAGACTTCTGTGCTCCTGGTGTCCATTTTCCGAAGCCATGTTGAAAGGTAGTTGGGTGTCCCAGCTTTCCCTATTTCCCCAGCCGTCTTTTCTGCAGTTCTTCAGTGCATGGTTAGCAAGTGCTCATAAGGCAGGAAAATTACTGGATTTAGAATTTTCCTGGGACAGATTGATGTGTACTGAATTGTCTGCGGGTTTTTAATTTTTCTAAAGTTGGATTCGCATTATGTAGATCCTCCAGCAGAGCTTGTTTATAAAAGCAAAATTATTACAGAGGTAGAGGACTAGAACACATACCAGGAGGAAGCAGTACCTGGAGAACTACTTTGCTGTATTCCTGTGAAACAATGTACAACACTTTGGTTTTTCCCTTAGAACTGTCAGTGAGGTATAGGAAAACCAAGAATAAGTAATTTCTCACCACAGACCTTGGTCACATGGAATACAGTTACTTGGTCTGGAATAAGATCCTTGCCTGTAAAGGTGTGGCTTTCAAATAACTAACAACAGGTGACCATTTAAAAAAATTACTGAAGACGTCTTTGAGATCACTTTTCCATGTGAAAACAAATGAGATCTCCAAAGAGTAATGTTTTGCTATTCACTAGAAAGCTAGATTGTAGGTAAACAGAAAGGAAACTTGGTATGCAGAGAATAATTAGAAACGTCGAGCAGAATGCCCAAGAGGAGCTCCAGGTAATAAATAAGCAATTGGAGAAGCCATATATTTCTAAGTCAATAGACGAAACAAACTACCATTAGCGTTCATGGAGGGAGGAGAGAGCAGAGCTAGCAGCCACCAGTATGCTGACCTGTATGCTGGATTTTCTGTGTGCCATGCAAGTAGGCACTATTCAATATGTGTAAATGCCTTGGAAATAATGCAGAGGAAACACAGCAAAGGCCTCGGTTTTGGAGTTGTGGGAATAGGCAGAAGTAGTTGTCTGTCTACAAATCCCTTTATTCAGCCACCAATAGTTCATTCAGCTAATATTTGTTGAACACTTAATAAATGCCACACACTGTACTAGGTGCTGTTAATATAAAGATGATTGATCTCCAATATCTTGATCTAGCTTGAAGAGAGAGAGTTTGGTAAGTTTAGTGATAATGATATGACTGTAAAAAGGAAACATTCTGGATGGGTAAACACCTTAGTTCTATTAGGGTATGAGTGGTGAATAAAATAAGAGACTGTCAGGCATAGGCATAGGAGGATACTTGTGGACCAAAGCAGAGAGTTCCCTCCATTCCTGCCAGAATAAAGGGAAGAGGGTGGAATGGTCAAAGTGGAGTAGAAAGGTGAGTGTTGACTGGAACATGAAGTTCTATAAGTAGTAAAGTCATAGCAAATGGAGAGGTAAATAGAGGCAGGGAGTTATGGGGAGGGTCTTGTGTACCATATTAAGGATCTTGGATTTCATCCTAGAAATAGGAAAGATTTTAAGCAGATAAATGGTGTAGGACCTTCTCTTTTTTCTTTTCTTTCCCTTTTATTTTAAATTTTAAACAGACAAATGACTGCTCTGTAGGATAGAAACTCCACAGGAGTAGTGAGGGAGCAGTTGTTGGAGTGGAATAGAGGAACAGATTTATGAAACATTTAAGGCAAATAAAATTGGATGTGGAACATAAGGGCATTAATGTTGGCTCTCATATTCTCATATTGTGGCATTGCCTCTCAGCCTCCAGATGATTTAAGTAACTACTGTGTGTCAGAAACCTGCTGATTAAGGGAGAGGGAAAAATCAAAGGGAGTTTCTATTTGGCACTTCTACTGTGGGCACTTAACTTTTGGATATAGTGAGTTTATCCAGGGTTGATAAAGGGGGTTGTCAACCTGGGGGGCAAATCTTGAGAGCAGATAGAATGACCCAGGGAGAGTGTGGAGGGAGTCAATAGCAGTTGATTCAAGGCACTGAAAGAATCTTGGTGGAGGACAACCAGTGCATAGTGGAAACAGAAAAGAGGTAGCAGGAGAATGCCCAGTGTCAAGTGTACCCTCAAGGGTTTCAGTATGAGGAGCAGAAAGACAGCAAAACGAGAGTCCTCTGTTGGGCTTAACCAGCGAGAAATAGAAAGTCCATGGTAAGACTGGGAACCAGATTGCTCTGCCATTGACAGTTCTGAGGCCTTGAATAAATCACCTGCCTGTGAGTTTGGTTTCCTATCTGTTAAATGGAAATAACTGTCTTGCTTATTGCGGAGATTAGAAGTGGTGCATTCCAAGTATCTAGACATGCTTGGCATATAATGGGTCTCAAAAATGTTTGATTTACCTGTGTGCTGCCAGATTGAGCCTGGTGACTTTAAGAAGTGATCTTAAGATGTAGAATCTTAATGCAGTAAAAGTCAGATCTTAAAATTTTTATTTATTTTTCTCATTTTTGAATAGCAATTTATATCTTTCAAAATTCAGTTCAGAAGATCTTTCCTCCCTGTGTCCCAGCCATTCAGTGTGGTTCTGTCTCTTCTCTCCTCCCTTACCATTTTCATGGGTATTTTTTTGAGATGCTTTAACTGTTGTGTCAACTGTTGAATAAATGGGCAGCTGAAAATGACTTGCAGCAAATCAGGAAGATGGTAGTGGTGTAGTAATTTACTGTGACATCTAGGTTTTAATATACTTAGTGTTCAACTGCATGACAGACTGAGAGCCTTCTAAATTAAGAGTATCTAAACTGAGATTGGATTTACATGAGTGATTGTAAGAGTACTTGAAGTGCTCATTTTGAGAGCAAAGAGTAGCTTTTTTGAGCATATTCAGTATATGGAACTATGTATTTCAGGGAAGTTAGGGCTCTGAGATGGAAAATTAGGATGTAAGAGCTAGCTGAGGTTGACAATTTTATGAATTTTAAAAATAATTATTTCAGTATTTAAATTTTTGTGCATGCCTTTGCCTCACCCATTTATCCTAGAGAAATGATGCAGGATAGTTTAGTGCTTAAGGTAATGAACTTTGGAGTAGACCTAGGTAGAAAGGTGCTCAGCAACATGAAGGTGAGCTGGAGCCCAGCTAGTAAACTATTTAACCTCAGGAACCATTGGAGATGTAAGTGATGTCATGGGATATAAAACTGTTGGCATAGTACTTGGTACCTATTCAGTCCTAAGTAAATGCTTTGCTAATACCATTAGCCAATTCCCAGAAGTAAGCTCTTAGGCTTGAGTTTAAAATATTTATATATAAAGTTTAAAATAATATTTAAAACAACAGTCATGTCCTTTAACAGTGCCATAATACGCTGGGTCCTTGCAGTTTCATTTTAATAGTTGCCATTTTAGGGTTGATTATGACCAGTGTTTTTGAAATACCTGAGAGCATGGAGAAAGGAGGGCCTGGTGTTGCCCCCTTTCCATTGAAGTTAAAGATTGTGATTCAACCCTTTCAGTAGTGGCACAAATTCTTGGCAAAGGAATGGATTCAGTAGAAGAGCCTGAGGAAAAGATGAGAAAGATAAAAGAACATCAGAAGAGTGGCAACTTATTAATGGCAGAAGTTTTAAGGAATGTACAGGCAGCGATATTAGATGTTACATCTTTTGTGAGACACTAGTGACCCAAAGGGTTGTAGTTTTTTTTTTTTTTTTAGGGAAAGTTTCAGTGCCTTTTATGAAAGTTAGCCTAATAGCTGCTTTACCATTGATTATGAAAATAAATTTGTGACCAGTGAAGTTGAACTCATGCTTCATTGAGTTGCACAGTGCCCATTCGTTTTCCAAATTCAGTATGTGTGGGGAGGGAAATGAATAAAGCAATGTTGAGCTTTAATTTTTTTAACAATGTATCTAAAAATTGATTTAAAATTTTTTTTCTGATGGCCTAAGTAGCAATTTAACCTTACCAAGAATAACAGAAACAACAGAAATTATGTTCTTGGTAATACTTGTAGGGGAGCTGTTCTGCTGTGACACCCTGACCTTGCTTGTCTCCATATAGGCAAGCAGCAAGGCTTAATTACGGTCACAGCGGGATGCCCTGTGGTTCCTTCAGGAACAAAGGGAGATAGGCAGCCTTCTGAGAAGCTGCATTGGGCCATTTCTCATCCTCCCGGTTTCAGTTGAGTTTGGGCCTTTCCGTTTAGCCTTCCCCTTTAGGCTATAAAACCACTGAGCTATAGTTACAGTTAACTTCTTAGCAGCCCACCGCCTCCACTGCCTGTCACTCTGTACTGCCTGTCACCTGCCCCTTCCGATTTGGTGTCCATCAGTAGGAGCCAGAGACACAAGACCTGACACCATGCTGATCTGTCATTTACTTGTAAGTAATAAACTGAATTTATTTAGGCTTCTTTTCTCCTTACTGACCAAATCTATAGAAACGTGGTCCTGTAAATGTGGTCCCATTAGCCATTGTGCATTGCTGTTACTTACGGACTGCTTGACAAAAACCCAGAATGTGTATCAGGTCTCTTCCACCTTAACAAAAGTCCTAAGTTAATTTGGCAGCCTGTCTACTGATAAGCTAACCTAAGTCCTTACCCGTTCTTCCTTGCCCTCTTTTTAATTTTGTGTGTAAAGTTTTAATTAGAACTATTTTACATTGTTCTTTTGTTAGTTGAATTGTACAATTTTTGAAATTTTAAAATGATGTTTCTTCTTAAGCTTTGCTACATTTACTAATTTCTTAAGAACTAATTAGCAAAAGTGTGTGTATGGGTTTGTATACTTGTAAAACTTTGTATTATGAAAACTTCCCAGTTTATGTCAAAGTAGAGAGAATATTATAATCCTAATGTAACCATCATCCAGGTTCAAAAGTTGTCAACCGTGTTTCATCTCGTTTCTCTCTCTGGATGAAGTAGAGGAACAAAATCTTTATATTTGAAATATAGTTTAATTTCCATTGAACTTGCTGCCAAGTTTCCTTTTGATACTTCTGGTGATTCATTTTAGGGTTGAGATGGGTATCTGTTTTCTTTTCCGAGCTGCTAGAGATACAGGCTTATTGAAACTACCTTATATTGTGTTTTATTGGAAGTTAAAAAGGAACAGAACCATAGAGTTTATATTAGGTTTTTGTATTTAAAAATGACCAATGATTTAGTGTTGAGATATTTAAGAAGCAACATTGCAAATATCTGTATGTCAAAAAATTGTAGAGATTATAAATGCAGAAACTGAAATGAATCAGAAAGTTAAAGATAACATTGGTGTCATTATTGGTATCACAATGAGTAAGTAACTAACATTGAAAGTTTGAGTGGGAATTGTATCACCTCTGAACACATGGAGTTGTTTGGGGTGGATTGGGGTGTTTAAAGGTCACTTAGAAATTGTAAAGTCTTTACTAAATAAATTGAATGACATATGTATAAGTCATCATAAAATAAATTACAGGTTTAATTTAATTTTGTGGGTTGTGAAAAAGTTGAAGCATAAATAAATTGGCCTCGTGGGATTTTAATACACTTCCAGAGCCGCTGAATTCATAGCACAAATGGTATCTCAAATAGTGCTGTTCAGTAAAAATAAAATGTGAGCCACATACATAGTTTAAAGTTCTCTCTCTAGTAGCCACATAAAAAAGAAACCAGTGAAATTAATTTTAATATATTTTCAGTCTATCTCAAAATGTCAATTTACCATGTAACCAAAAATGTTTAAGATCTTTTATGTTTTTCTTCATATTCCTAATGCTCATTTCGGACTAGACTTAGGCGACTAGTGTCTGCCACATTGGGTGTCCGTGGTATGAAATGTGCAAGGTGTCCAATATACTGCCTGGATAAATGTCAGTATTTTTCAAGCAAATTTTTATTTTGAGTAAATAAGTTTGTTTATAATACTGAAGTGGGATTAAAATAAGATGATATCATGCTTCATGGAATTTTTAATAGAACTGATAATAAAAAATAATTTTTCATTTTTTTGTATCACCTCCGAACACATAGAGTTGTTTGGGGTGGATAAACTCTTTCCCATCTCTAAAAGAGCTTTTAATTGAAAACAGTTAACAAAAGAAAAAAATGTACAGTAAAGAGTATATAAAGTTCAGAAACTAAGTTTGTTGGTCTGTGTTTTCACTTGAAAGCCACACTACTGTTGCCTTAGCAGTGTGAACCCCTTAGAGTCTGTTACTATTCTGACCTATGCTTGTGGGGAGAGTGAATTTAGCAGGTCTGAATGGCTTGCTACTTAACGGTTAGTTCTGACTGCTCTTCGGGTTGATCCTTAGATTGAGTAGATCGGCAAAATAGCAAAGTCATACATTTAACAAATTGTCTTTCATTATAAAGTTGATAAAAAAAGTAGATTTCTTGTTTCGGGTTTACTATACTGTTCCTAAATAAGTTAAGCTCTTCATATAGACTAGTTTTTTCTATTGAGAAAATGACAGAAAGAAAAATGTGATTTTTTATTTTACTTGAATTTCTGTGTCACTTAACATCTGGGTGTCTGTCGTTTCCTTGAGGGTTACATGAATATGAATTGTAAAATCACAGAAATACAGAGTCAAATTCAGTGTTTCACATTTACAGCTAGTTTTATTTCAATTCTTAGGTTTGTTTCTTATATTCTCTAAGTCGTTTTTCTACTTTGTTTACTAGTCGGCAGCAGGAAATAGAAGAAAAGCTCATTGAGGAAGAAACAGCACGAAGAGTGGAAGAATTGGTGGCAAAAAGGGTAGAGGAAGAATTGGAGAAAAGGAAGGATGAAATTGAGCGAGAAGTTCTTCGAAGGGTGGAGGAAGCCAAGCGCATCATGGAAAAGCAGTTGCTCGAAGAACTCGAGCGACAGAGACAAGCTGAGCTTGCAGCACAAAAAGCCAGAGAGGTAACGCTCGGTCGTTTGGAAAGTAGAGACAGTCCATGGCAAAACTTTCAGTGTCCGGTGTGCTTCCTGCTCAGTTCAGAAAGAGATGGAATACAGACTAATTCCTTTCTCATCTAAACTTAACATTGCTGTGAAAGTTAATTTTTTAGCCTACTCAGAAGTGCTGACTGATACTTAAAAGTTATTTTCATAAAACATATTCAAGGATACTTTTTGATCTAATGGAGCTGGCTTACATATTTGAGAAGTGTTTGAAACTTTTGCCATGGCTGCAGGACTTTATTCTTTTTTGGGAGGGTGGTGGGAGACAGGGAGTGGTGAAGGGAAAAGGTTAAAAATCCACCTGTGGTTATATATTCTTTTCTGTTTATCACTCTTATTTCCTAGACTGTGAGAGGCTTTTGCCTTCAGTCAGATTAAAAAGAGCAGGGCCAACCACTGAGTGACACACCTGCTTTTAATAAATAGGTTTTCTTGCTCTTCTTTTTTCCTCCTTTTTTCCGTCACCTCTCTACCCCAAATCCTGCTTCAACACAATGGACTAATTCTAGCATTCTGATCAGGTCCTCCATTTTCCTAATGTGTTTCAGAGAATCTTTTTAGGAAAAATGTCCAGATTATTCATCCACTTTTTTAGTATCTACTAACAACTCCTTTTTTTCTCTAGAGAGTTTTGAAGGAACAGGTTGTCCTTGTCTGGAGTCAAGCTAAACACATGATTTGTTTTATCAGCAGCTGGAGCAGAAGTTGAAAATGTCTTTCTGTGAGACAGTAATTTGCTACTGAAGCTTTATGGCTTATTTGCACTGATTACTCCAGGATCCTAAAACTTGTTGAAGGTCACTGAAACACTCAAGGCAAATTACTTTACATCACTGAGTGTCTCTTAATACAGCTTTCATAATGAATATGAATTCCATTGGTTTGTGCCATAGGAAATCCTGTAGTTATATTTTCTTGGACTTAAATATTTGACTCAAATATACATGACTCATTGTCATTTTTAATTTTGGCATTATTGTTAACCAGTTGACATCATCCTGAATATCTGTTTTCCAGTAAGCTTAGCTTTCCAAATTCATTTTCCTTTCTGCTGTCTTCACCTAGATACACGCGTATATTTGGTGGCTTCACAGACTGTATTCAATTAAATGTGAAATTTTTATTTATATCAGTGCTTTTAATAATGATATTTTTGGAGTAACCGTGCTGTCTTGTAGCGAGTTATTAATCATAGGAAGATTTTTTTCTCTTCATTTGCTTTTTGTTTCATATTAACATTTTTTTTTAACACGGACACAATCCTCTGACAGTCTTTCCAAATATTAAAATCATTTGAATATGTATGCTGTGATCTGAACAATTCCCAAACCATCAAGCAATCTTCATATAGTTTGCATTATAAAAGCTCATTAAATTCTCCAAGAAAAAATAAATTACAGAATTTTATTTCCTGACTATGTACCCCCTGGATTCCTGAATGTCAGTTCAGACTGTAGATGACAAGATAAGCTGCCTTTAGAAATTGTCAACATCTGAATGTTAAGTCCATTTACCCCATGGAAGAGGCCCTTAGCTCCATGAAGTATGGATTACCATTTGTATTTTTCACTAACAGTAAATGTATTTTTCTTATTAATTGTTTGCCTTAGGAATGATGAATTACATTTTTTGTTCCTTCTTACCATAAACATCTGCATTCCTCAGCTCAGCCTTCCTTGTATGTTGTTTCTTTATAAATGGTTGAGCTGCTGATGCAGGTATTGCCAAGCTAACAGTACAAATCATTTTAAAGAGGAAGCTGGCGCGTATGGCAGCCGAGGAGCACACTCTGCAGGACACTGGACAAGACAGTAAATATTCAACTTTTAATGCTGATTAAAGGAGTATAGGTAAAGAATACGTAGGTATACATAATTGGTGAGACAAATATTCACTTTATTTATATTTTATATATTATTTTTTTAATTTGGTAAATACTATCCAGTTTTGTAGTTGTCCTTGTTGATTTGTGTGATATTAAAGTATTAGTAATAATTGCCAGGAAACTTATCATTAGGGAGGGTTTAGTCGGTTGCTGTTTGGACTGGGAGGGATGATTTAAATCTAGTGCTAGAAACAAATTTTAGGTGGCTGCACAGTTTATCATTTGTCAGACAGAAGGTAGTTAATAAAGCTACCCTCTAAGTCAGATGAAAAAAGTTCAGAGGAAGATTAGTAAATATTTATCAATAAAAATAAACATTTTATTTTTCTAACATTTTAACCTGTCCTCCCCTTTAGGAGGAAGAACGTGCAAAACGTGAGGAGCTGGAGCGAATACTGGAAGAGAATAACCGAAAAATCGCAGAAGCACAAGCCAAACTGGTATGTATAAAGCATACATGAAAAATATTTGTATTTGCTTTATTTTTTTCAAATTTTGTGGAATGATTTTATCCTCTGTAAGTGACATATTTTTTAGAGTTCTTGGGACTATTTTAACAGATTTGAGGCAAGAGAAGGAATAGCTGACCTGATACTAGCTAGTCAGCTATCTTCCAGGGCAGTCTCTTTGGGGCAATCTAGAAATTCTAATTATTCTGGGGAAGACTCCAGTATTTGCATTGGTTTGAAACAGGTTTCCTGGGGGAAATTGCACTATCTTATCCCAGATTTTCTCTATCTGAATATACCATGCATATTTCTGCTATGCTTAAGAAGACAAAACAAAATCTTGGAGGTATTTAAACTAACTAGTTTGCAGCATTTTACTTACATTGCCTTGTTACCGATCACTGGGCACACTAAGTGTAGGTACTATGTATTTTATACTAAGCCTACCAGATTGATAAAACTTCTTTTTCCTGTTCCAGATGTATAGTCTAATAGGGAATACAGAGACTTAAATAATTATAATATAGAAATGTAAAAGTTGATATTGTAGAAATTTTTAATTTCAATAAAGAAACTAAGATTATAGAAGTAACTTTTTAAAAACAGAAAAAACTAATCCATATATCACTTTTCCAATTCTATTTTTCAGTATTTCTCTTTTTTTTTTAAACACATACTAGCATTTAAAGTAGAATAAAATTTTTGGTGTCAGAGGGTTTTCCCATTTAAGAGTGTGCATGTAGTTTAATGCAGTGTCAGTATAATGAAGAAAGAAGCTAGAATTAAAAGATTATGGATATATATCCCCAAATCAGGAGGATAGTAGACATTTAAAGAAAAACTTTCTTTTCCCCATGAAGATGGTATATAGGAGTTCTACTTTGAAGTAAGAACGTTAATCAGAAATGGAAGAAAATTTACTTACGATGAATGGGGGTTAATTGTATTTAGTGCCCAGGAATGAAGACATGACTCAGGAGGGACTTCTGGTTCTAGACATCTAGAAAACTGGTCTAGTTAGAAATATGGTCACTTAATACAGGCATTGGAGGACATTTGCTCCTGAGTCTGCTAATTGGGAAAGAAAGCAAGTTGAAAGCTCCAGCTAAGTGGTTCAGAAAACAAATTTCTGTGTTTGTAAAGTCAAAGGAAAAGACCCAAAGAGTCTAAGTAATTAATAGTGGATCCCACAGCGAGTGAGCATGAAGAAGGACCATAGAAAATGTGTGCTGTAGTTGATAAGAATGTGAAAAGGTAAAACTTTGGGACTGTTGATTCTAGAACATGATTCTTTTTAAGACAGTGAGCCCCCGATCAAAACCTATACTGGAAATAACTTAAGCAGACTTAACATGACATAATGGGAAGACCTTCAGGTCTGCTTAGGGAGAAAAAGCAGTATGAATGTGAAATAGATGAGGAGTCATTATAAGATCTATCACTGTCTTTGTTAAGATGTTCGATAATGTTTTTTTAATGGTTCCATGTAAGGAAAAAATCTCAGTGCGGGTAGGAGGAAGTAAGGTGGAAACTGAATTTTAATTTGAGCTTTCAAAGGAAAGTACAGTCTGATTCTAAGGCATGGATATTTCCGGAAGAGAGGAACAGAATAATTGGTATTTAAAACATTGAAGCAAAATTGACCAAGCAGGTTGGATAGACTATCCTCTTAGAACATAATAGATTATATAGCAGAGTGAGGTGAGTTTTGTGGGTGGCCTGGAATACCAGATTGTGATTCTAGAGCAAAGCTCTTCAACTTGGTAAGCCCTCCAAGATTTTGATCCTTTCTGATCCTGGGGTAGCTGTCCATGTGCCTAGTGACAGCTTGGCTTCCTTATATTTCACTGGTAGTTTTCTCTTTTTGCTCACATGAACCATAGAAATACAGCTTCGTGTGTGTCATTACTGGGAAAATATTAGCAAGCATATTTTGTTCATATCAGTGGTGGTAACTAGCCTGTTTCTCTCTTCTAAATCCCAGTTTTCCTCAGACCTCTCATTTTGCAAAATACAATTAAGGTGAATAATTAGAAAAATGAGGTCAAATTACTATGAAAGCTTCTAAAACACATACTCTTGGTTTCTGCATACCTTGTGGATCAGTGAGAGTTTGCAGTCACTTGTCCACGGGCCATACTTAAGCTAACACCGTTCTGCAACATTTGAGTTTGACCTAATAGAAGGTGCAATGACACTAGTAAAACTTTAGTGAAAAGATTCCCTATGGAAAAAAGTGTGAATTTGAGAAATTTGGTGAGAATTTTGACATAATTAATTCACTTGGTTCCTGTGTTCGGTAAAGTTGGAAGCATAAGAAATTGCTGATATTGGAGGAAATTAATTTTTATTTGGCTCTATTGGTAGTTACGCACTGCAGGGAAAGTAGAGTATCCTTTGTGTAGGAGGAGACTAAAGTGTAAAGGTGCAAGGTGCAGGGCACTGCTGAGGTTTCTTTCATTTGTGTTTTCTTTTCCTCTCAATTTTGGGCACGGTTCTTTAGTCTTTATACACGTTTGCTAGGAAATATTACATGGAAAATATTGAAAGTCTCATTAAAATAGTAGATATTTAAAAAAGGGAGGAGAATATAATAGTACTGGAGACAGCATGGGACTTGCCTGCATATGTCAGTAGCGGTAGTTTATCTTGTTGAACCAACAGTTCTGTTTGCTTCATGACATAAACATCTGCAAGAAATGTGGACCAGTTCATTGTCTATATAAAGCAAGAAGAATGGGATGCATTCTTGGTTCTGAAAAGTGGGGGAGGAAGAGGGAGTCGCCAAAGCTTAACTATTCACGTAATTGATACTGAGAAACGGTTATGAATAAAAAGCAATTTGGAGATAAAAATGTTTAAGACATTAAGTTCTCTATAAGAATTTAATGTATTAACTGTGAAGGCAAGGACAAATCCAGGAAAAGGTAACTGATAACATAGGAATATTTGGCAAGTGTTATGGATGATGTGAGATAATTGACAGAATTACCCTTGGCGTGGCCTTGGAAACGTTCTGGAGGAGAACCCTGAGTGAGCTTTGATAAACAGAAATTGAATTTAGGATGGGACGGGAATGTGAGGAAATGAAGGAGGGCAGAAGCCTTTCAGGATATAAAATCAGGACTAAGGCAAGAGTGTGTGAGACATGTCAGCATAGTAGGAAAAGTTGTAGTGGCTGTAGTGCTAAACCAACTTTGAAATTTGGTGAGAATTTGGACATAATTAACTCACTTGGTTCCTGTGTTTGGTAAAGTTGGAAGCATAAGAATTTGCTTACAGAACCCAAATACGACTTGGCTTGACAAATTTTGGTTTTGCCAAAAAACTGGTTCCTAGTTGTTGGTTTGTATTAGCAATGTACAGCTATCTTTAAATACTTGAAAGGCTGTTATTAATACAATGGAGAATCTTAGTTTTCTTTAAAATGTTAAAAATAGTACTAAAAACTTTTTAAGTCTTCTTCCTTTCACAATTTTTTCATGACATACCTGGGAAAGCCCAGATGCTACTCTGAAATGTATATGAATCTTACTCACAAAGGGAAACAGACTAAGAAACCAAATGTTCTTCCAGGGGGTTTTGTCAGTAGGAAAAGTGACCCTCAGATTATTTATATCCCCCAGTGAAGATGGTAGTAAAATGGAACCTGCTGCACGTAAACACCTAAACCATAATCCATAATAAGAGTCAACTGACAATTTCTAATAAAAGTAAATGTAGAAAAGACAGAGGAAAAATTAATTTTAACTGGGATGGAGAACTCTTTGAAATTTAAAAATATATGCAAATGCTAAGTTCTAGATCTGCAGTGTATTTCCTTTGGTCAGTATTCAAGTGCAGTTCCCCTTACTCTTTGGTGAATACGGAGACTTGCCATATTCATCGTGCTTTAAAACTTTGTACCTCACCAGTTTTAGAGATGAAAAAATAGTACCATATTTGAAAGTTGATTATATGTGAAATGTGCTTCACATACTTGTTTAAAATAAATCAGATCTCACTTTACAGTTAAGAGATAGCTGTGGAAAGAATTCTTAGAAAAATGTGAGGGTTTTTTTTAGATGAATTTATACAGTAGAATGAAAAATGCCCCTCCTCCCCACACCCCATCCTAATCCCCAGAACCTGCGAATGTTACTTTATTTGCTGGTAAAAGGGTCTTGTGGATGTGATTAAGGATCTTGAGATGAGGAGTTTATCCTTTATTATCTACTGGATCCTAAATGCATTACATGTATCCTTAGAAGAGGGGGGCAGAGGGAGATTTCACCTCTCAGTATACCCAAGAGGCTTGACGGCAGAGAAGGATTTGAAGGTGCTGGCCTTGAGGACTGTGGTGATGTTGTCAGAAGACAAGGAATTCTTGCAGCCACCAGGAGCTGGAAGAGGCCAGGAACAGACTCCCTCCCAGAGGGAGCACAGCCCTTCTGACACCTTGGTTTTTGGAACAGTGATACTGTTCTGACTTCTGGCCTCCAGAATAAATTTGTGTTGTTGAAGCTACCTAGTTTGCAATGGTTTGTTACCGAAAATTGTGGAAGTGGCTTTACAGCTGGGCAGTGGGTAGAGACTGGAAGGATTTTGAGGCACATGGCAGAATATGCCTGGACTACTTTTAAAAAACTGTAGGTAGAAATAAGGACTTTAAGGGCTTTTCTTGTTAGGGCTCAGAAGTCGATGAGGAACATGGTATTGGAAACTAGAAGGAAGGTATACAGTGGTGGAAAACGAAGCTGAGTTATGTCCTATAGTTGTATAGAAGGGAGAACTTATAAATGGCAAAATTACATATTTAGTTGAAGATATTTCTAAGAAAAATGTTGAGGGTGCAATCTGCTTTCTTCAATTCAAAAATAGAGAGGTTGAGGAAGGAATTGATAAATAAACAGGGACAAGTGCTTGATGTTTGGGGAAAATTTCAGCTTCTCTAGATTGCAAAACATGCTAAAACTAGAAAGCACACTGTTGAAAAAACATACTGTGGAAAG